AATACCGGAAGTGGCGCATTTCACGGACGAGAATCCATAAAACACATTATTAGACTGCTTTCCAAGGCCTCATGATATATTAAACCCGTTTAAAAATCACAATTAAGCATAACTGTGAATTCACAAACGCTACGATTGAACTAAATAATTATATGCGATGCAGTTATAGGCGTGTAGGTTACGTACGATAAAATACAGTAAAATGTTTAATATATAAGACATGAAATATGACATAATTTCAGTCTTTCCATGATTGATTTGTTAAATACATTTCATTCCAGTTCAAATAAATGTATTAAATTTAGTTTTATATCTGTTACTACGCTTCACCAAAACTTTTGGAATTAAAAGAAAAAAGTCTACATAGTTTAATTAAAACTATATAGACATTAAATAATAGTAGTTTATTTTATAAAAAAAAAATTTTTTTTATTTTATTTTAACTAATAAAAATGACAAGCACACAAGAAAATTACTAAAACTTTAAAAGTAAAGTGAAAACAAAAAATTTAAAATAAAATCTAATTTAAAATATTAATGAAAACTATAATAGTATATAAATGTATTTTAGTAAATAAATACTAAAATAACTCTGGACCGCACCAGTTTCATGATGCTGCTCATAATACTTAAATAAATGTCTTATTGTGCTTGTCTTATTGTGAAGTTTTTCATAACCTTGTATGAATGCAATGACTTTTTCCTTCATAACACCTCGTCCAGCTGCTAACGCTTCTCTCATTCTGACCGGCTGCTGATGGCAAATTCATTTGATTTGGCTGCAGACTTTAACATGCCCTGTGTGGCAACTTCAGCCCGAACCGCTGCATGACGAAATGGAAAGAGATGACGAAAGCTGTGTGTGTTTCACTGATGTTCAAGGTTTCATCGTAATGTTTAACCTTCCTCAAACATCAAACTGTGCAGAGTTCAGAGCGAAGGTCTTCAGATGTTCTTCACTCTGCAGTGACATCTGCACCTCTCCCAGTTTCTTCTGAAATGTAGAAATCTTGTTGTTGCATGCTGTGAAGTTTGCATTCGAGAGCTTTCCTCCGTGTGGGCTGGCTCTTGTGTTCTCTGTGGAGAGGTGTGTTGGTTTGTGTGCCAGGCGAAGGTCTTTCACCTCATGCTGTGATGTGAGCGGCGGCTCAAGGTCCCTTCAGATCAATGTTAAATCCACTACGTGACGCCTGTGAACATGCCATCAGCCATTTCTGCTGCATTTGAAACTCTGTCCTGCTCTGAATATTAGCTGCTGCAGTCCAAACACTCGGTCCAGTGAAGCATGCGTGTCCGTGTTCTTGTCCTGTAGTGTTTCCTGCACTGTTTTGTTTTTGTAACACATATATGATGGAATATGTTTTTGTTTTATAAAAATAATGTCCCAAATTCGTAATGAGAAGCATTTATAAACCTGATGGCAACAAAGGAGATGCTTTTAGGGCTCACTGCAGTTTTCTGCTGGAAATAAAAACATTAAGATTTAATATACTAGTATTGCAATTCAGCAGTTTTACTTTTTTTTAAAAAGTTTAAAAAAAAAGCTTTTTAAAAAAAAAAGCATTTTTCAATTCTGTTTTTACTATGGTAATTTCTTATTTGTAAAATACTTTTAATAATAATAATAATAATTATATAGTCCTATTGATATATTTTTGGCCAAATTGTGCAGCCTTTACTATACTGCAGTCAGTTTTGTGTCAGAATAAAACCTTGATGGTTTATTTGAAAATATAGACATAAATATTAATATTTTAAAGTAATATAAAATTATTGTATAGCAATTCTGCAGGTATACTGTAAAATAAATGTGTTCTTATTTTTATTAATGAATTTTCAGTATTTTTACACTAGTAATTTCTTATTTGTAAAATATTTTAATAAGCAATAATATAATAATATTATTTATAAAATCAATAATAATTATTTATTTGTAATAAACTTTATAAAAATACAAATATTATTAATAATAACAACAATTATCATTATAATCAATATTAAGAATTAAAAATTATATTAATGAATTTTATTTTTACACTAGTAATTTCTTATTTGTAAAATATTTTAATAAGCAATAATATAATAATATTATTTATAAAATCAATAATAATTATTTATTTGTAATAAACTTTATAAAAATACAAATATTATTAATAAATAAT